TGCTACCCCCACGCGGATATGTGCTTGGTTGAACATTGATCAGCAGTCTACATGGTGCACCTCTCTCACCATCTACCCCAGATTAGACGACGGCATGGACGTATCCCAAGAGAACGGTCCATGGCACCCAGACCCTGGCGGGCGTGGCATCGTTCCATTGAGCTCCTTTCGAGTCTTCCCACGAAGATACTGGCCAACAGGAACACGGGGCGTGCCATCAGTATCGAAAGCGACATGGGTGTATTTTGGGGTTTGGGTTCGACTAACCAATCATAAGCGACACCGAGAAAACGTGAACGCGCGCTGTGGTGCAACTCTCAACGCCTCCCCAGTGACATGTGCTGCCGAACTTGATCGCAACAGGCTTGTCCAGAATTATTTCGGGCCTTCTACCAATTGATGTCAAGCGGCATGATATCAGGTCCCTCACGGTTCAACATCTCGGATTCTTGGCCTGGGCCTGGCGTTCCCAAAAGAATATCGGCCATGCAGCAGCACGTTGCTGCAGGCCTTATATCGTAACGCAATACAGTATATGTCTCGTCTGACAGCTGCCCCACCGACCAGCCTTACTTGCGTTTTGTACCTACTGCAGCTATCAAGCTGACATAGCCTTCCGTCATTTCATCCTCTCATGGACGTCGTCGAACTGCGGCGCTCACTTCCCTCCAGAGCATCAACCTCCGTTGCCACTCATGTTTTCGTTTGGACGGGTGGGAAACGCAGCTTACCGAGATGTGCCCGGAGTCTATGTATATGATGATCCTAGCCTTATCTTCTCACTTCATAACTAACTAGGCTACTAGACCCATATCGCGGACCCTAATGAGCGCCGGCGTATGGCCCTCGCTGAGGTAGATAAAGCACCGTTTGGATGGTACCATATACGCCTAGCGGTTGTGACTGGAATTGGGTTCTTTACCGATGCCTACAGTGTGAGTTTGGTGGTTAAGATTACAGGTGAGGCTGAAAGTTAACTAACATCTCCAGCTATTTGCCATCAACCTTGCTGTCATCTTGTTAGGAATTGTATACTGGCAGGATGACGAACACAAGGGAGTCATGCCTCATGATGCCGATACAGCGATCAAAGTCGCGACATCCGCTGGTGCCATTTTCGGCCAATGCATCTTCGGATATATGGGCGATCTGTTAGGAAGAAAGAAGATGTATGGAGTGGAGTTGATGATCATCATCTGCACAACACTTGCACAATCGCTCTGCGGAGAATCAGCCACTGTTTCAATCGTGGGTGTGCTCATTTTCTACAGAGTTGTAATGGGGATTGGTGTCGGCGGCGACTGTGAGTACAAACTGAATTTCTCGCGGTTTCGAATGTTTTGAGGCTCGATCAAAGCAAAGAGGAAGAAAACTATCCCTCAAAATATGCTCTTGCAACGCAACATTCAGCCTTTACTTTACTGACCACTACTCCAGATCCCCTCAGTGCGGTCATCACAGCAGAGTTCGCCAGCACCAAATACCGAGGCGGTATTATCGCAGCCGTCTTCGCCATGCAAGGCCTTGGCCAACTTGCAGCAGCCTTGGTAACCCTCATTGTAGTCATAATATTCAAAGACGATTTAATTGGAGTAGCCAATGTTGGAGAATGTGTGGGGCAGTGTGCCATGCGTGTCGACAAAATGTGGCGCATTATCATTGCTTTTGGTGGCATCCCCGGATGGTTCGCACTTTACTACCGGCTCACAGTACCGGAAACGCCACGATACACGTTCGACGTGCTGTACGATGTCGAGAAGGCCTCGGTCGATGCGCGAAAATACCGCTACGGAAAGCAAGGAAATGTGGTCAATCCGGTCACGCAAGCGAAGACGCGCAGTGAGATGGCCAAATACAAGACGCCGCGACCTACATTGATGGAAGTACTGCGCTTCTACTCGCAAAAGAAGCAAGCTATTCGCTTGTTCGGCACATCTATGTCCTGGTTGTAAGTTTATGCAATTTGGCCATACAGTTGCAGAAGTAGCTGACATCCAGATAGCTTCCTAGACCTAGCTTTCTACGGCCTCGGATTCTCCTCCGCTTCTCTAATGTCCACGATGGGCTTCGATCAACGCGACAACCTATACCTCTATCTGCGCAACACAGCCACGGGCCAAATCGTTCTTATCTGCGCCGGTGCCCTGCCTGGCTACTGGCTCACTGTTTTCACTGTCGATTCCGTTGGTCGGAAGCCTATTCAAATAGCTGGCTTCGGAATCCTGACCATCATCTTCTGCGTCCTTGGCTTCGCCTGGCAGGGACTCACTAAAACCCACTTACTAGTGCTTTACGTACTAGCACAGTTCTTCTTCAACTTTGGTCCGAATGCCACAACATTCATCACGCCAGCGGAGATTTTCCCAACAAGAGTACGATGCACAGGCCATGGTTTCAGTGCTGGCATGGGCAAGCTAGGCGCAGTGTTTGCCCAAATCTTCTTTGCGCCCATGATCAAGAGAGGAGCTACGCACGATAATCCTACGCCTTGGATTCATGGTGTGATGCAAATCTTTGCATTGTTCATGTTCCTGGGCATGCTGACAAGCTTCCTCGTTCCGGAATCGAAACGAGCGAGGCTGGAGGAACTGGCAGGTGAGAAAGAAGATGTGTATGAGTTACAGGCTAGTCAATGGCGGAATCGTGGTGGCGTTGCCGGGATGGCAAGTGGAGGGAACGCGGACGTAGAGAGTACCTTGGGAAACACATCAGTGGTCATTGCAAGGGGAAGTGGAAGTACAGGTGCGAGAAGTGTTGATCGTGGAAGCGAGGGAGGTTTGAGAGAAGGAGATATTGAGAAGAAGTGGTGGCGGTTCAGACAGTCGGAGATGCACTCTCATGTTGTCTGAATGTTTGGCAAGGCTAACTTACCCTTTTCTTTCTAAGCTTTGGAGCGAAGGCGTTCATGAGTCACGATGGGCTGGATCGAGCTTGTAGTTTTATACTGTTTCCCTTTTTTGTGTACGACAATCCGCCTGTTTGTCCTTGTTCGCTTTATACCCTTCTGCCATTTGACGTAAATTTAGATTCCAGTTGAAGTCCTCGATCTGTTTTCATTCTACCCATTCCTCTTCTCTACTTTACGTACTACTGACGTTGACGTTGGTCGTTCTGGCCATGGCATTACCTCTTTTCCCATGAAGAGCCAGGTACCGCTGATCTTATTTGCCGTGATGGCGATGCAGCTCAGGCTCATGTCCTGGAGTAACGGGTGTCGGTATGGCACATCCGACCGGCACGACTACAACTCGGATGTCCTGTCTGAGGATATCTATGAGAGTTTGTTTACCTTGCTAGGTTCTCATCTCCTTCAACATAAGTCAGTCGGCTAGCAGTCTCAAGTCAACATGCTGGTTGTCGTGCATCTGCTGTCATATCTTCAAGTTAGTGTAGCATCGAAAACCTTCATCCGCCTCTTGAAATTTCCAACAACTCATCAACCGTTTCTTTCTCAACTCTCTCCACACCCTCTACGCCTAGCAACCTCTCTCCCACCTCTTCCACGTAGCTTCTACCCACCTCTTCAACACTCTTTCCCACCACCCCCTCCTTGGCAAAAGTAGTCGTCTTCTTCCCTTCCAACCCACACGCAACGATCCTATCAAACCACCACAAATCTGTATTGACATTCAGCCCAACTCCATGACTCGTAATATTGCGTCTCATATGAACTCCAATCGCCGCAATCTTGTCATCTGGGGTCGTCCAGACACCCGTGTTCTCTGTAGTCATGGCTTTAATTCCGTATTTCGCGCACGTGGCTATCAGGCTTTTTTCTAACAGACAGACATAGTGTCTAGGCGTAAGCTTATGCGTACGTAGGTCGATGATGGGATAGGCAACTAGTTGGCCTGGGCCATGGAAGGTGGTTTGGCCGCCACGGAGAGCTTCGACAAAGTCTGCGCGAATGTTGGTGTCGTTGGGTTTGCGGAGGTAGGCTTGTTGCTCTGGTGAAACGGTACCGATCTCTCGCCGACCGCAAGTGTAGACAGGGGTGAATTCGGCAGTTATGATGTGTGGTGCTGGTGGGGGAACATTGGATGGCGGTTTCGAGGCGAGGAAGCGCGATACGAGGAGTTCCTGGAGGCGGGCTGCTGTCGCGTAGGAAACAGGACCCGGAAGGTGGATGTGTTGGAGTCGTTGGCGAATAGAGCTGGCCATTACTATTGATTGGGTGTTGTTCCTAACAGTCTTCGGGGATCTGAGGACTTGGGTGAGCAGGCAGGAGCTACCGAGCTGCGGGTATCCCTGCAGGCAACTTATCGATAAGTTTTTGTGACGCGACGCGACTCGACTTTTGCGACTGCCAAAACCCTCAGGCCGTCACACGCAACTACGGAATCTGTTTTCCACCGGTACATTACCATGGCGGGAGTCAAGCGATCAATAAATGGGCTAGCCAAGCCTCAGAACAAACTCCAACAGCCGGAAGATGTAGCCATGACAGACGCAACGCCTCCATGCGGGCAACCGCAACCACCATCCAGCGAGACCACTTCGTCGATCAGCACGTCAGAGAAGCAAGAGAAGACCCCAAAAACGAATCCTTCCACGAAGAAACCCTCTACGACTTCTCTACACCCTAAACAACCTTCCAAACCACGTACCACGAATGCCAAACTTCGCCAAAAACTCCCCAAACTTCCCAAAAGTACGTATATCCATCACTGCGCGGATATTCTGACCCAGTCTAATGTTTGTCAGACACAAAGATTGTCACTCGGCCACTTCTCCACGCCCCACTTTCTTCGCCTTTCTCCTCGTCGGGCTCTGCGAAAACACTCTACATAACTGCCACGACACCCTACATACCTACCGTGAAGCGCGTGCGCAAGTTGCTGAATGAGGTTGTAAAGCGCGAGAAGCAATCCGCAAATTCCCTGAATAAAGCAAGAGGAAGAGGCGGACGATATGCAGAAGCAAACGGACGACTGGAAGCGCGAGATGTAGAAGCAGAAATAGTAGGAGAGATGGGCCGGACAGGTAGTAATAATAATAACATGGGTAAGCGAGGGATCGCGGGGCAAGGCAAAGGCAAAGGAGGGGAAGAAGTCTATCTCAAAGCAACAGGACGAGCGATTCCAAGAGCGTTGGAACTGGGATTACATTTCCAGTCCGAAGAGGATTGCTGGGTTAAGATTGACTTGGGCAACGTAAGTGCAATTGATGATATTGAGGTTGAAAGTCGGGATGCAACAGGAGAAGGATCAGGGGAACCAGGGGACGAGGCAGAGGCAGATGATGTACCCGAGACAAGGATACGCACATTAAGTTCCGTCACTGTTAGTATTGGACTGAAGTGAAGTTATGAACACAGGCGAGGATAAGAGTTGACCGGCGGAAAGTCAAGCATGTAGATACCCATACACACACACCCCAGCTACCTAGTAGCGAACGAGAGCACCTAACATTCGAAACAATGAAACATTGATCACAGCCACGAGTTCATATTCCAAGTCGAAGTATAATGAGAAGGAATCAAGTATATATCATTGAAGTGTGTGAAAAGGTTCTTCCTGCTTGCTCACTTGCTCCCACACTATGTGCCTGTTCATGCGTATCATCCAACTCCCAAAGTCCCAATAGGAAAGAGGAAAAAGGAAAAGCTAGTCGTGTTTGCTACAAAGGAAAATGCTCATCGTTCGCTGACCGCAGTGAATGACTGTTTGGACTAGAGAGTCCTGCAATGCTTCCGAAAGTTCCCAACGAAAGTACGCCTGCAAGGCCAGAGATGACACCGTCCTGAGCGCCGATAGGAAAACAAGCCGATGCACCTCCCATTAAATTACGCTGAAATGGAAAAGAAAGATGTTGTGGTGTTCCGATACGGTGGTACCTCTCGTCTTCCCGGTGTCCCATAATGGACTATAGTGATGGCGTAGACAATTTTGATAGACAGTTCTGTCTTGAACCATCGCAACTACAATGTTCCCGTGGGCGGCATTGCTATCATACAATACTGGGTCCCGGACATCCAAGTGATGTTGTCGCAAGCAGTCCAGAAGCGGGTATCGTGGCGTAGCGTAGTATGTCGGCTTAAGAGAGAGCACAACCTTGTAAGAACGATATCTCGAACCTTGACGTACGATACGCTCCTCAAGGGCTCGACCCTGTGATGTTGCCCTCACAAGGCCAGTTTCTCTTGACGTAATGATAGAAGACTATTATGCACCTCTTCAACGCTCAGCCTTGGGATATTGGTTGAGCATGGCCATGACTGCGACACCTATTGCAACGACTGTAACCATGGCTCCGACCGGACCGCCATAGTACATGGAGTCTCGATCTGGCCGATGGGCGACCAAGGAATTAGATTTCCCCGTGGTCTTCGAGCCGTTCAACCCAACAGCATGCCCGTTCTGCTCGTTTTTGGTGGGAATGGACACTTCTGGGCCGTCCTCGTCAAGGTCCTTCTCCTTGATGATCATGATTTCGCCCTCCTCAGCTTCGCCGTCGGATCCTTCAACGAGAGTTTTGGTGGTCGTCCTTGTTGACGCGCTGTTGCTCCTGCTTCGCCGTTGGCTTTCTTTGCTAGCGGTCTTTGCATTGTCTTCTCTGATGTTCTCGATCATCTCTGCCAGAGTCTTGCGATCGGCTTCAGCAGTCTCGGCTCTTTCCCTATACCGCTCCATCTGCTGCTTCATCTCGTTCATCTCGGACATCATAACCTCCAAACGTTGCTGCAAGCGAGTGGTGGTGTCCTCGGCACTGGTGGGAGATGCGGACCCGTTCTCAGATCCAGTGAGCTCTTCGCGCTGTGCGTCAGCTACTTCAGGCTCGTGTGTCTCATCGTCACCAACCACGGTTTCAGCATCTCCATGGTCCTTGTTTGTTTCGCGTTCGAGTCGGGCCGCTCGCTCTTCAGCATCTTCTCTTGCGCGACGCTCTTCGTTCAACAAGGTTTCCAAGTCTCGTAGCCGCATTCCCTGTGTTTCAATCTCTTTTTTCGCACTGGTCAGGGCCTCTGTAAGTGTGGACAACTGTGCATCAGAGCGGACTGGGGACGCAGTCTTTGGACGCTCGGTATCGGATCTTCTGAGAGACGATGCGACATCGGGTTTTTCAGGTAGAGGCTGTTGTGGAGGCGGCGCAGGTGGGTCTGAGAATCTCGCCTTTATGCTACCGTCTTTGATTGGAGATATCCTGACCTGGTTGATCGGCGAAGCCTTGACAGGTTCTTTCTTGGTGTCTGTAGAGAGGATAGCGTTGATGTACTGGTGGGTTTGTTGAAGGTCCTGCGACTGTTGCTTTGCGGCCTTGATCTCGGTCTACTACAATTAGCAGGGGGTTAATTTGAGCAGACACGCCAGACTTACGTTGAGCTTCTTGACTACCTGCTCCATGGTGATCGGTTGTAGCCAGAAGTTAGGGTGTCGGGGTTGCTGTAGAGCGTTTGGGTAGTTGGCCATGGCGCCCGGGCCCTGGAGTCGCTGACCGTTCATAGAGCCTTGGCTGGGTGTGCGACCACGCATGTTTGCCATTTGCTGTTGGGGGTTGCCGCCCATGATATTGGAGAGTTGTGGCCCCTCGAGTTCGCCAAAGTTGAGGTCGATCATCTCGCTACTGGTTCGCGCGTAGATGCCAGCATGCTCAACGCGCGCAGCGACCTTGTGATGGACAATAGTCTTCTGGTCTTCGCTGACGATGTCGATACCGAGTTCCAACATGTCCTGTTCTCGCAGCTCGTGGGGGTCAGAATCTCGGTTCTCTTGTGACAAGCGGGAGCCGTTGACGAAAGTGCCATTGGACGACTTGACGTCTCGGATCCATATCTTGCCCTGGCGGTCGGCCCACACCTCAGCGTGCTGCCTTGACAGTACCTTGGAGTCGAAGTATCCGTTGAGTGGCGTGGGGATCGTCTTGTTATTCGTTTGCCGGCCAATGCGGAGAACGTCGGGGAAGAAAGGTACGGTGATGGTCTTGCGCTCAAAGGTGCCATTCATGGGGACGAGGTGCAGTACAGCGGTGCTCTCCTGGCCTTGTGCGCGCTGTGCCCCGTTGGGCTGTTGCTGGGCCTGTACTTGGCCATTGTGCTGGGAGGGAACCATGGCGGAAGGTGCTTGCAGGGCACTCATGGCCGAGGCGGCTGATGACGCTGGGCCTGCCGACGCGATGGGTTGGGGTCGTGCAGCAGTGATTCCGGCGATGGGCTCAGTCTTGGTCGCAGGCCATAGTCCCTTGGGTGCTTTCGGTTTGCGGGTGGCAGCCCAGTCGGTGCCGTTCTGTTGCGGGGTGCCGTTTGGCTGTGATGCAGATGATGAGGCGGATATGGTCGATGTGCCAGACGCCTGTGACGAGAGGCTTGACGATGAGTTGGAACGTTGAGCGCTCTTCCGAGGCATAAACATGCCACCTCCGTTGGACACGCCCTCAGCGCTCCATGCCTGCCGATTGATGTTCTGATAGTTGACGGGGGGCGCAACTGCCGTCATTGGCGAGGTCGTGTGCTGGGAAGGAGGTGGGCGTGTTTAGTGTCCGGTCACTTTTCCTGCACGATTCCCGTCTTGTCCGTTTTTAGCGGCGCGACACCAGCGTGACGACGCCGAGAGCAAGCGACAACAACAGCAGGAGAGATGGCGAGGCCGGTCATGCACTCATGCGTCGCGATGGAGGCGGGTCTTGGAAATGCGTCGCGGGCGGGATTCTGGTGGCTCTGCCGCCGTCGTCGTCTCGGTCGTGTGCTGTCGGTAGAGAGCCCGTGGGACGTTAGGGCGATGCAAGGCGCTGCAGACGGGCGCAAAGCACAGCAGCACGGTCTAGCAAGTGCGTGAATGTCAGTCGAGGCCACCAGGCAGGCTGCTCGATGGGTTGGGGTGGGCGGTATGGATGGAGCCTCCAGCGTGTTTCGACGAGCAGGAGGTCTTGTTCCGGCCTTGGGCACGCTGCAACGCTTACTGGCCAGGTGGGCGAGACGACGGCTCCTGGGCTCAGGCGTAATGGCGACGTGGAGAAGGGGGGCTGCACGGATCAAAAAACCACTGCGAGACGAGACAACTATCGTTGTTGCTCTGGACCAGGTGCACTATTTCGCTTCATTCCTACGCCGCCGCACCTGCAGCCGGCCAGTGAAAGGGCCAGCCAGCTGTCTGAGAGAGAGTCACGTGCGCAATCGGCAAGCGCCGCTACATCAGGTTGGGAGAGTTGGTAGCAACCACAAAGTAATGCGAGTCGAGACTGACTCTATTATCTTGCGTACAGCTGCGCTGGACGCGCTAACGCCATGTTGATAATGCCCAGTGTTAGCTGCCTCGTGCATCCATGGTGGTGTTTTCCCCGGATTTCCGTCTTCTTTCCTTGGCGTTGACTGAGCCGCGGCGAGACTGCAGCTTCAAGTGGGACAATCAAAGTTCCCCTCTTGAGTTCCTTCACCACCTCGACGTTTGCAGAGCTTCACGATGCCGGTACCAGTCGGTTCAATGCCCCAAGGGGCACACGGCCCTTCAACACTAGACAAGCGTAGGGCTTTGTACCTGCATGCGCCTGGCAATAGCTAACAGCGCATAGTGAAGATGGGTGGCATGATGGGTGGATGTACGCTTCATGGCAGCCCGAGAATTGCATGAGCTGACTTTTTGACAGCTGTCGGATTGATCATCGGCTTCATCTTCGGTGCGCGCCATCCCAAACATTCTCGGGAAATGCTTCCTTCTGACTATTGTAGGATTCACCAACATCGTCCGCTTTGGCCCTGGACCTAACGGAATGCTGCGCACACTGGGCCAGTACATGATGGGATCGGCAGCAACCTTTGGGTATGCATGATTATGCTTCGACAGTCTCACTGCAACATGCTTATATGTATCCCAGCTTCTTCATGGCCATCGGTACCACCATCAGGACAGACAGCTCGCCCATCGCCACACAAGCTTTCAACAGCGCGAGCCGACGACCCATCATTCTCCCAAGACACTACCAGTACCCACGCGCCGCTCAGAATGAGAAGAACTAGGATATATATACTACTGTAAAGTGTTGGTGGTAAGATCCTCGACAGATCCGGGACTATACGAAAGAAGAAGTGCAGCATCTACGATCAAGACTTGCGCATGTATGATAAGCAATAGAGAGACCCTATCGAGGGCAGATGGTATGATTAGGCGCAATGGCAAGTGTCATTGAACGTCAGTAGTACAGGTTTTCACTTTCACTTTCACTTCTGGTCACCTGCTCATGGAGGCTATTGTAGTCCCACGTCGTCTGCGAATCGCGTCATGTTGTCATCCAATATTCCTATTGTGGATAGTTGTTTCTCTCACTCGCCGGCGCCTTTGATCGCTTTCTACTTACGTACGGTTTCCTACGACCACTTCTCACGCTGAACTTGCACTCAACCCATCAACTTTCACAATCGACTTCCACCTCGATTACAAAATCTGTTTTGCAATCTAATACCAACCCGACACTACCATATCGAACGATGTATCCACAACTGCCAGCCGGCCCGTCTGGTGTACCGTAAACATTCCTCTATGAACCGTGTGAGAGACGTACACTGACATTGTATACCGATCTTCAGACCCCGGCCACCTGTAACATACAGCCGTCACTCTAGTTCTGCTCGCACCCCACACCAACTGGGTGCAACTATTCAAGACGTCGACAACGAAGCCAGGGGCGAGGCGGCCTTCGATCGAATCAGTCGCGGCACTCGTGGAACCCACAGCGACGGCGCTAAGTTCAGGGCGGCGGCGCGAGCTACCATAAGAGCGGTGAATCGTCCACATGCCAATGGATCGCAGAGCAGACAAGGGATGCTGAAGAAGCCTTCTGTACAACCTGGGAAGGGCAAGGAGAAGTCAGACGCACCAGGTAGCTCAGAGACTCACAGTTCCATCAAGGATGAGGAGGACGACATTGCAGAAGCCGTTGCGCGCTCGCTGGGCGAGCATGTTGGAGACCCTGACGTTACGACCCTGCTTTCACCCCTACTGGGAGAGCGGGACGACTCCGATATTGCCGAAGCCAAGATCATGTCGCTGTTTTCAAATGAGAAACCAGTAAATCATGCGGCTCAAGGTCACTCATACAAGTATATCGGTAATAGTTCTACGTCCAGTTCGACCGCGCCACATACAGCACTCTATTCTCTGCTCGATATCATAGAGGACAGCGCGAAAGCTGTAGAAGAGGTCGATTCTGAAAAGTTGGCCACAGCTGGTCCCGAGTTGGCACATAACATAAGGGGATGGCATAGCATCTTGACCAGAGTAATCTTCGCGACTGAGGCAGCCGAGCACAAACGGATCCAAGATGTCCAGAACCAGTTGGACTACGATCGGGTTGTTGAAGACAAGCACAAGAAACAGATGGACACATTCAGAAGGCAGGTTGGAGCAAAAATGCTTCAGATGCAGCAGGATCACCACCAGGAATTGAAGGAACAAAAGCAGGCGTATGAGAATCTTCTTGCTAAACAGGTCGCAAAGCTGTCGACACCAACGGCACAAGACCGAAAGCCAAGCACAGAGCCCGCCCAGCCCCGAACCGTCAAGTCACCATCGCCACATCTCCAAGACAAAGTAGACCGTCTGACCAACGAGATCGCTACGCTCAAGTCTGAGAACGAGACCAAAGTCTCCAAGATGCAGGCCTCGCACGCAGACCAAGTCCTTGTCCTACATCAGAAGATCGAGCGATTAGCTGACGCAAACGCCTTTCTCCGTGTGCACGAGAACCCCAAGGACAAGATGCAGGAAATGGAGAGGATGAAGCAGACGAACAAAGCATTGCTTCAGCAAATCAAGGACATCACAGGCGAGAACGCAAGGTTGAGGCAGAGGGTACCTCCAGTACCAGCTTTCCAGTTCACAGCTGGTGGTCGAGGATTCCCCGAGTCTGTTCAATCGGACCCTGGTCCGTCATCTCAAGAAGGTAGTGAGAATTGGTCGCGCAAGAGGGCTAGACGTCAATGAACAGCCGCGTCGCGTATACTGACCTACATGCGGGTTCGGAAAGCGGGTATCGTGATAGCCGGGAAAATGCTGTACCAATACAGATGAACACGACCAGTGAGAATATTGAAAGCTCCTGCAGCATACAGAGAGAGCTTTCTCACCTACAATAAATTATGATTTACACCTGGGAGGCACTCACCAGTTTTTTTACCTCAACACGGGCATCTGCAGAAGAGGTTGTATACCTCTAGGTTGCAGTACACACTCGCACACGGAACCATGGATCCACCTGACGTCCAACAGGCGCAATAGGAAGAACCACAGCCGGGCCCTGCTCTTCCGCGCAAGCCAACTACGAAACTCGTTTGACGTGCGGGTGAACCCCACAGATAAGACCCTAGCTACAAAACGCATGGGGTTTCGCGGTTTCGGAAGACGCAACTCATCGTGGAACGCGTATCTTTATGCATAAGAAGTGCCGCGTTCTCGAACGAAATGCTTATCAAGTAAGTGTTAGCATTTGGAGATCGTGTCGGATTTGATAAAAGGAAATGAGATGTGATGGCTTGTTAGAGCTAAACGAGGATGACCTTCCGCTGCCGTGCCTAGAGTGATTGTAGAACAAGCAAGCGAATTACGACCGAGTCTATTCATGATGACTACGTGTATTCGCTTTTAATGAAGCCATTCGCAACGCGAGGAATGGAAGTCGTATTAGACTTTTTGCTTTTAGTGTTCGGAGCCAGGAATGTGGGTCTGGTAGGCGCGTCGACGCGTAGAGGATGGCAGGTGCAGGCGCGTCATCATGCTTCCAACATACACGCTCAACCTTGCCTTCTAGACGACCAACTTTGAGAACCAGAGCAAAGAGCAGCAATCTTAGTAGATACGACCAGGCGATATATCAATTCGCTATTCACCAATAGTAGCATTCCGCAGCAGCCTCACGGCTTTGTACCTGACGATCATAATCGACCGCCCCTGGTCATACCTGTCAACTCAAGTGGGTGATGGCGGCATCGGCGACAGCTTGGCGGCAACACATTGATGACACTGACCAGGCGAACGCAGTTCCCCGACCCGGCAAGCTCACGGCTGTAAGATGATTTGGGACATGGGCTTGCGAGGACTGCGACCCTTTTGGTCCCAGAGTGCCGCATCTCATCATTAGCCCCGCCGGAGTGACGTTTCACAGCAACAGCCCGCCCATGTCGCGCCATCGTTGCGGGCTGCACCCGGCAGCAACCGTGGCACATATTACCTTCTCACATCCCTAGTATCTGGATATTTTGGCACTTTTTCACTTTTTTATATCCGATACGAGTTCTTTGTCTCCGCATGGCCCATTGAAGAGTATTCGTGGCGTAGTCACTCGCCATGGAGCCACGCCGACCAGTTTCCACATCTCCTTGTAGATGTTTATCGTTCGCGACAAAGAGACTAAGTTCAGTCTTTGTGCTTGATGCACCGTCGCCCTGCCACTTTACTCCAAGGTACGAGCTCTCGTAACCACCCAGTCCTTTGTGTACGACATGCGC